TTCTTTTTGCTATCTGCCCTTATCCTCTTCTGTCAACCATTTAAACAAAACTCGTTTCGTAGGTTAATTTCTGTTGTCCTCTGTCGATTTCACAGAGGAAGGAAATGTATATTCATTTTTAATACAAAATGGTGGCACAAGGCCAAAGGGAAAATTGTGAAAAGACAAATCCTCAGTAAGTATCAATCAAAATCACGACCCATTCATTCAATACAATATGCTCAATCACCACAAGAACTTGTCCATCACCTCTCACCCCTAGATGTACCACAATACCACAAATTCACAAGAGACCTACAAAACGCCCTATGATGTAAAAACAGTGATTTTTCAAGCGTAGCTTAGATGTAACACAAGGCCGAAAGTAGGGGGCATCCAGTGAGGATCGAACTCACTATTCAGTCAAAATTGTTCTAGTGAGACAATCTTGCTAACCATTACACCGCCTCTAGGTGCCCGAAATGATTTTCCAAGCGTAGATGTGGCACAAGGCCGAAAGAGTCGGGCACCCATTGAGGATCGAACGCACTACTCAGTCGTAATTGTTCTACCGAGAGAAACTTGCTAACCTTTACACCGTCTCGAGGTGCCCACAGAGGAAGGAAATGATTGCAAAACTTTTCCCACTTCCCCATTTATAGACAAAAGTTCTCAAAACGCATGCTGGGATATTTTTCTTAGCCAATAAGAAGAGACGCCTTGCGTTTTGACATGACTTTGTCCCGATTGTAAATAGTTTTATTTCATTTTGTAAATACTCATTGGGGCTAGTTTTTAAAATTTTAAATTATTTTATTCCCCTCCCCCGCACAGACGATAAATTGTACATATGGTGACTAGTTACTATTTTCATGGAGACATTGAGGTATTATGGTGGATGTGGTGAGAAAGGTACGTAATAATGTGTTGTTTTGGTGCTAGGAATATTGTTAGTATGATTGGGTCAGCGTTTGTGGCTAACTAAGTTAAAGTTAAGACAGAAGACCGTTCTTTTTCCCCCTCCCCTATTTCGGTCTTGTGCCACATATTCTGTTAACAGAATTAAATAAACTCTCCCGATACGCCGTTTCAGGCGGTTCGGGCTGACTTGTCGAACTCTCTGCTTTCGGACAGAGAGGAACCCAGACGAAGCTATGCCGAAGGGCAGAATCGCATGTAGAGAGGTAGACAAGCCCGACTCCATGTATACGGCGTCTCCAGGAAATTTTTGACCAAGCCTAAGAGCTCAGCATCGCCCCACATAAGATGACGGCCTTTTGGGGTGGCTAAGGTAAATAACTTCAGTCCAGATCTGTCTTATCTCCTATATAGACCCACTTCGTTCGCTTGTCTAACTGATTTTATGTGCAAACACCAGCTCATAATTTGTGAACTCACTTCTTACATGTTGATTTGCTTACATATATTGTTTGCTTGCTTGCTTGCTTGATGCTATTTCATTGTAGCTTTTTTAAATTGTTATTGCCAGCTTGATTAATTCTGTTCGTTGGAGAGATGTGTTATTTATTTTGCATTTTGACAATAATTTCTAATTCATCACACTCTTGCGTTTGACATGTTTTGTGAGTGTTAAATTTTCCAAGCTTTCTTTCCTCATAATTTGCTCCAAAAATGTCAGCTTTCTTTCTTATTGTAACAATAAACGTTCTTTTTATTTGCATTTTCTCGAAAATTTCACCGTTTCTGATATATTCAGTCCATGGTATCTTCATTATCTTTCTGTAGAAATACGTTTTCACTGCTTCAATCTGTGAGGGAATTGTCTAGCATCCACTGACATATAGGAGGGCCGATGTCACATAACAGTTCTGTACTCTTTTCTTTGTTTCTAACAAGAGTTTCCTGTTTCTTGATATTTTGTTTAGTTGAAGAGGAAGACATCCTTCAAAGAAGAGGAAGACATCTTTCGAAGAAGAGGAAGACATCTTTCGAAGATAAGGAAGATATCCTTTGAAGAAGAGGAAGACCTTTCGAAGAAGGGGAAGACATCTTTCAAAGAAGACATCTTTCGAAGAAGAGGAAGACATCTTTCGAAGAAGAGGAAGACATCTTTCGAAGAAGAGGAAGGCATCTTTCGGATTTCGATGTCGCATTTTCCGTCCTATGTTAAAACATTTCCCAGATGTTTGCATTTTTGTACTTACGGAATGTTAGTGCCTCCAATTCGTATTTGGCATCTTCAGTTGTTCCTTTTTATTACTGTCAGCAAAATGGACGACATTTTTTTCTGCCTAGGCGCTCAAAAGAATATTTTCACAAGTCCCCTTTTCTTTTCACATTAATTGTTATAAATTCTTTCTGTTGCAATTTAACACTGTCTAAGATTTCTTTCTTACGTTGCGCCTAAAGACGAAAATAACTGATAATTCTTATACATAGGAAAAACCCTGAAGTTTCTTTAAATCTGTTGAATGAACAATTCTAGTTTGTTCTGCCGAATTTTAAAAATATTGCTAAATTATAAATAAAACTTTAATTGGAATGTGGATGTACAATGTGT